GGCCATCGCCAATCAAGCTGGAAGCGATGAGATTATCGAGTCACTCTCGACCGGAATCGACGAGTTTCGCAATGATCCGGACTGCGTACTATTTTTTGATTCGTGGAACGCTCGATACATGGACGTATTCAAGGAGAACGGGAAGCATTTGCAGGACAAGGCTAAGGTCAGACTGTGGACAATTGGCACGCAATTCCACGAACGCTATACCCAACCGAAGGATGTAAAATTTGCTTACAATTATAAGGGATTCATCATAGCAGGATGTTATCGTTGCGATTATTAAACCTGTGCTTTCTCCACTGCTCTCTCCATGCTTCGGAATATTGGTAGGCTAAAAGCGAATAAGAAGCGCTCATTTCCTCTCATACTCGACCTTTGTATGCTTTTTCTGCTGAACGGGAATTGGAGAGATTCGTGGCAAGTGTGTGTATCGTTCTACAATGTTATAAATAAAATGCTTGCTAGTATAGTCGAAAGCGTGGACAAAACACGAAATAAAAAATATAAACAATCATAACATCGTCTACATGATCAACTTATATCATTCGCTACGGTATTCGCTGCGGAGGATGATTAGAAATGCAACTAACATTCAAAGTCTTGCGCAGCTTCGGTGAACAAGTACTTGTAGTAGATAAAGTTAGTGAGGAATAAAGAATGAGTAGAATCGAGTGAGCGTGAAGCGTTATAGTAAACTGTATAGCGTATGTAAACTGAATATCATTGGTTTGAGAATGTTGATAAGCTTGCAGGTATAAATATGAGGTACCTAAGCTCGTTGTCGTCATTCTTGTAACGAATTTTGGAGGAGCCACAAATAATCGAATCGGTTGATCGACAGGTCCCGGTGCAACAGTTGACCACGTGGAGCGAGTCTACCCAGCTGGAATTGAATGACAACAGTACTGTGAAGCATTCTAGGTCGAGAAGCTTTCCAGTGCCCAATTTAAGATGCTCCGGTTCATATGCGGTCTCCAGTCATCGCATGATGCGGATATTCGAACTGTATAAAAAACAGTTGAATCTGGACTGATGTTTGGTCCCCCACTTTCCCAAACATTACGATCAAATTCTGGTGCATTGTATAAACGATCGAAATTATATTTTTTCTCCATCCAGTCTTCATTTTTTAATACAAGAGAATCAGTATCAAACATTGTAAGATCACCTCCATCTAAATAAACTCTATTGTAAGATCACCTTCAAGGAAGTATTTCGATCGTTGAACCCTTAAAGCGCTCCTTTCAGCTTCTAATTGGATAAATTGAGGCAGCGGAAGCAGTTGTTGTTCATTGCACCAGTTATTGAAAGAGTAGCAAGTCTTTGCAGTCTCCCCAGCCATTCATTAGTTTTCGGCCACCAAACCAGGATATTCTGGGTCTTAAATCCAGTGGATCATTTTTGGTTTTAGGCCACATTTCCTACCAAAAGTTTGCAAACTTATCCAAAGAGCCTTTATTGCCTTATTAACAACCTGCTCTATATGTGAATTCCAAATAAGTTTACTGTCAAGAATGACTCCCAGATACTTGATTCTTCGTGAAAGTTCTAAAGCAGTTTCTTTCAATTTTAAGTTATTTATAGAAAATGTCCTCTTCCGTGTGGACGGTACAATAGTGGTCTTAGAAGGGTTTATATTCAACCCATCTCTAGTGTACCACGACGAAACATAATTGAAAGCAGTTTGAATTCTATTTGAAATGACATTATCAAATTTTCCTCGTACAGTTATGACTATGTCATTAGCAAAGCCAATTATCTCGAAGCCCTTTGTTTCTAAGTTTTTGAGAAGTTCGTCAACTATTAGAGACCATAAATGAGGTGAAAGAACACCTCCTTGAGGACACCCTTTCACAGCTCTAACTGTTATGGATGAGCTTCCAAGATTTGCTGAGATTTCTCTTTTAGAAAGCATCTCATTAATCCACCTAATGATGCTTTTGTCGAATCCACGCTTCAGCATATTGTTTTTCATGGAGTTATAAGATGCATTATCAAATGCTCTTTTGATTGAGTAGAGTAGGGAAATTGGAAGCAGAAGAATCCCCACCGCCCTCCGACGGTGCAACGCTGAAGCTCGAAAACCTGGTTGAGGAGTGCAATCGCATCATCAATCTCAATCAGGATACGCAGATGATTGAGAAGGGTTGCCCAAATAGATCAAACGTCAATGCAATATCTCGACATCCAACAAGTAGGATGGATAAGTTACCAAAACGCCATGCTGGTTATGTGAGGATTTGCATTAAGTGTGAAGGAGTGTCCCTACCAGACCCATACCTGTGTGAAGGGCAACCGAAAGGAACACAAGTAAGGTTACTGCTCATCATTCGAAAAGAGGCCATCGAAGCAGGTCGACAAACTTAAACCCAAAGACATCGCCTAATCTAAGGGTATCTCGGTTAATCGACCTAATGAAGAACCGGAAGTATGCCAAGATCGAAATCAACGGCTCAACAGCAACGTTGTAGCTCGATTGTGCTTCCGATATTCCCATTATCCCATTCTCGTCGCCAAACTATGTTGGTTTCTCGAAGAGAAAGAAAACTAACTTTAGGTTTATGAGTTGATTATATTTTAACTTATCTCTTCGGTGGTTGGATCTCAACTTACAGAATATTTTCAGTTATAGCTAATTCGTTTATAATTCAGTTCCAACTTGGATCGGGTACGTCAGTTTGCTCGTTTGTTTTTAAAACCTAGCTCAGGTTGAGGTTCGCACTTACAAAAAGTGCGGTTTCGCACTACCGTTAATACATGGAACAAGGAAAGGAAAAAATAAGTAAAAATTAACAACATGTAGTTTTTCGCTACTGTATATTATTTTGAAGACAACCGTTTGTTTTCTTGATGAAAACTTAAGCCGAAGCTCGTATTTGAATCATAACTTATTTTTTTACTTCTCCAGTACTTTCTAAAGAATCTTCACTGAAAATTTAAAGATATTTGAAATAATAGCAAAAAATTTACAGCTGTTTACAATTTTATCCGAATACACCCTTCATACACGGATAGAAATCTCCTTATACCTTTTGGCAAATTTCTATTGCTGATTATTCATAAAATGTATAAGTCAAGTAATAAGCAGACGCCTTGCAAAAAGTTAATGAAGATCATGTGTCAAATGAAATGTATAAGCGGTCACACATACCTTTAATGCATTCTTATATGACCTATGTGGTATGTCTTATGGAATATATAAGGCTTAGGTTTTGGCAAAAATGTATACGTGAAACACATGAATAAAATAATTGATTTTCGTTTCGTGTAGATTATGATTTAGACCAGTAGACTGCTCTAAAACCTCGATAAAACTGGCAATGTTACTTGTACACGCAATGGACGGAAGGCAAAATAATGGGCGTTAGGCATAAATGCTCATGCTGTTTAGCATGTTTTGGTGGAAGTTAAAGTTTGCTCAAAGTTACAACCCACAAACATATTCATTATGCCGGGCTACAATTTTTGATTCCGTTCTTAAAAATGCTCCAAGTACCTGATACTACTTGAGACTAATCTCCTCCATTAACCTAACGTTCATTATTCCTAGCGTCCATTATTCCTAACGTACATTATGCCTAGCATCCATTATGCTGACTGTCCACTATGTCGACTGTCCACTATGCCGACTGTCCACTATGCCGACTGTCCACTATGCCTATCGTGTTTATGTTTAACGTCGTGCACCGTGTAATATAATTGATACTATTGAGTTTCACGGACTCTAAACAATTTCTGGGCATTGTTCAAGTCATGATTGAGTATATATATAACTTAATGATACGATTATGGCTATGATTATGAGCTTTACAGGCTCATTCATATTTTCGGGCTATTGCTCAAAACTTCATTGAGCATGCAGAACTTCTAGCCCGTAGCTCCAAAATAGTTTGGAACAGTCAGAATAGTCTCATAGGCTCTCTTGAGATTTACGGATTCATACAGATTTGCACGACAATATTCAAGACTTCATTGTTCCTAGAACTTCAAAATGTTAGCTCCAGACAAGTTTGTTGTGCTTATGCGAAACGTCCTTCCCTAGTACAGCTGAGCAACGGATGCACCAGCGTTTGTAAGTTCTGATGAAGCCCGTTTAAGGCAAAAGGGCCACTTATTTGGCTTATCGGTTATTTCGCATGCAACATTTCCTGGATTATTAAGGTCGTGAAGTAAATTCTAAGCTAAGCTAATGATTCAAAACAATAATAAAACCGAAAATGTAATATGGGTTGGGTTACGCCAAATGCTATAATGCAACACCATGCTGGAGGTGGCAGGGTTCGATTACCGGTTGATAAATTTTATTAAAAGTCACCTGAAGATTACATTTTAGAATATGTGTATGTATGTGTAATTGCTGGTTGTAGCGTTGTTTTATCACGTATTTCAAGAAAAATTGCAAGTTTTATCGTGGTTTTGAAGCATCGTACAAGTTTATGGTCCTCTGAAGCCTCATAAAACTACATGGATGTGATCAAAACATAAAACCTTATCAGATATTTATTCAAAGTCATAAGAGCGTCATATTTTAGCCACTAATCGATGGACTGCAATCCCTCACAAGTATAAATTCATTGGCTCCATTTGATTTCCTTTCTTTGCATTGTATTTTTTTTTCTAGTTCCTTACACACATACAAGTTTATCGCGAATAGCTTTAGCTTAATGCGATTACATTCGCCGTGGCTTTTTAAATCCCTTCTCGCAATCAAATTGCCATCGGCCAATCGAACGTTTGCTGGTACCGAGCTGCGGATGGATTAAATCGGACTCACTTTTGATTTTAGTCGACTCATTTTATCTATTTTGACCTTTTCTGCTTCTATGAAGATTACTTTTGGCACACCTAATAAGTGCTATTGGAATGTGTCATTGGGATAATTAATTTAAATCGGTTTAATCGATTACCGGAGAGAGATAATCAATGTTTATCATATTCATATTGTTTACCTAAACATATTTAGCATACCGTTTTTTCTTCTTCTCCTATATTTCCAGCCTATTCGAGAACGAGATTATGAGCTACATTCCAGTGGAGGCTCGCAGTCCACAGGGTTCACCGAATCTCAATAACTCACGGGTACCGCAACGTGCCCCTCCTCCCTTCCGCAGGGACTTTGAAGCTAAGCTACGCACCTTCTACCGAAAGTTGGAATCGAAAGGATTCGGTCAGGGGCCACATAAACTGAAGTAAGTCCGAATTGATATCATTAAATTCTTCCGCTTGAATCAGTCATCCGCGAGCACCTTGACTCACCGTTTTCCTTGCAGTGACTCAAAGCGTATGAAATTATCTAATCGAGCCGACGATGCCCTCACCCTCCAAAAACGATAGTTCCATAAGCTTATCTGTCACGCAGTACGTACCTATCGACGTGTGGCGGAGTACTACTAACAAGACTGTATGTTTGTCAATCCGGAAAACCGATTGCCATGGTCACATTCATTTGCCCCCCAAACTCGGTTACAGTTAGCCATGTGTGGTGACCTCCGAGGGGAAAAATAAAATCAGCTCGTCTTGCAATCTGCACAGCCGTCTTGATTTGACGGGCCGGAAGGTGGCACAAGTAGAAGTGCGATAAAATTCATTTACACGAGCGACCGCGAGCTTACTCTTGGCTAAAACTCCTCAGCCCAGCGAGGTATCGCCACGGTGGTGTGGAGCTTGACCGAGTATCATAAATTAATTACTAATTTGCGCAGCGGTTTAATGATAAACTGGATGGATGGAAACCCTCACAGTTGGGTGAGCATCTGATTCTGGGTGGTTCATGGATGCGTGGAAATCCGCTGCATATTGGCTTTCGTGTGTGAACTGATCTATAGTCAGTGATACATAGTTGGGTAGTGTTATTTTGTATTCATATTGATTTTTACAGAATACTTTAATTTTTCAATAGATTACTGTATGCTGTCAGATTTGTTCTCACAACTACTGATAACATCACGTCACTTTGCTTAGGACGTCGATTAATCGAGAAAAACTCTTCACCAATTTCTTCGTCAATGAAACATCAACAAATGCCTGTCAAACGTTTTTTGTTCCAACCACCAGGGGCCATTTTGATCTCCAAGATGGCAGACCTAAATCCAATAAGGCGACCCCCGGGTAGGTAATATTCATCTAAACCCATGCAATATGGGTATCTACGGAATGGGCTCGATGAGGGGAAGTATAAATTGGCATCCGCAGCCTATTTGGAATACAAGATGGTGAACCAAAATCCAATATGGCGGCCCCCGGACAAGGAATATTCATCTAAACCCATGCAATATGGGTATCTGCGGAATGGGCTCGATAAAGGGAAGTGGAAAATTGACATCTGTCGCCATTTTGGAATTTAAGATGCTGGCCTAAAATCCAATATGGCAGCCCCCGGACAAGAAATATGCATCTAAACCCATGCAATATGGGTATCTGCGGAATGGGCTCGATGAGGGGAAATGGAAAATTGACATCCACCGCCATTTTGAAATGCAAGATGGCAGAACAAAATCCATAATGGCGGCCCCGGACAGGGAATATTCTTCTAAGCCCAAGCAATATGGATATCTACGGAATGGGCTCGATGCGTGAAAGTATAAAAATTACATCCAACATGGTGGACCAAAATCCAATTTCGTGGCCCCTGGACAGGGAGTATGTATCTAAACCCATGCAATATGGGTATCTACGGAATGTGATCGATGAGTGGAAGTGGAAAATTGACATCCGCCGCCATTTTGGAATCCAACATGGTGAACCAAAATCCAATATGGCGGCTCTCGGACAGGGAATATGCATATAAACACATGCAATATGGGTATCTGCAGAATGGGCTCGATAAGTGGAAGTGAAAAATTGACATCCGCTGTCATTTTGAAATCCAAGATGGCAGACCTAAATCCAATATGGCGACCCCCGGACAGGTAATATTCATCTAAACCCATGCAATATGGATATCTCCGGAATGGGATCGATGAGGGAAAGAGTAAAAATGACATGCACCGCCATTTTGGAATCCAACATAGTGGACCAAAATCCAATATGGCGGCCTCTGGACAGGGAATATGCATCTAAACCCATGCAATATGGGTATCTACGGAATGAGTTCGATGAGGAGAAGTAGAAAATTGGCATCCGCAGCCTATTTGGAATACAAGATGGCGGACCAAAATCCAATATGGCGGTCCCTGGACAGGGAATATGCATCTAAGCCCATGCAATATGTGTATCTACGGAATGCTACGGAATGGGCTCGATGAGGGGAAGTGGAAAATTGGCATCCGCTGCCATTTTGGAATTCAAGATGGCGGACCAAAATCCAGTATGGCAGCCCCCTGGACAGGGAATATGCATCTAAACCTATGCAATATGGATATCTGTGGAATGGGCTCGCTAAGTGGAAGTGGAAAATTGACATCCGCCGCCATTTTGGAATTCAAGATGTCGGACCAAAATGCAAATGACAGCCCCCAGACAAGGAGTATGCATCTTCACCAATAATATAGGGATATGCGGAATAGACTCGATAAGTGGAAGTGGAATATTGACATCCACCCTCATTTTGGAATCAAAGATGGTGGACCAAAATTCAATATGGTGGCCCCCGGACAAGGAATATGCATCTAAACCCATGCAATATGGGTTTCTGCGGAATGGGCTCGATGAGTGGAAGTGGAAAATTGAAATCTATCACCATTTTGGAAATAAAGAGCCCATATTCCCTGTCCGGTTCCACCATATTGGTTTTTGGTCCAGCATCTTGAATTCCAAAATGGCAGCGCATGTCAATTTTTTGCTTCCCCTCATCGAGCCTATTCCGTAGATACCCATATTACATGAGTTTAAATGCATATTCCTAGTCTGGGGGCCGTCATATTGGATTTTGGTCCACCATTTTGAATTCCAAAATGGCGGTGGATGTCAATTTTCCACTTCCCAGAGTGAAGCTCATTCCGTAGATACCCATATTTCATGGGTTTTAATGCATATTCTTAGTCCGGGGGCCGCCATATTGGATTCCAAAATGGCGGCGGATGTCACTTTTTAACTTCCACTTCCCCTTATCGAGCCCATTCCGCAGATACCCATATTGCATAGGTTTAGAAGAATATTCCCTGTCCGAGGGCCGCCATATTGGATTGTGGTCCGCCATATTGTATTCCAAAATGGTGGCGGATGTCACTTTTTCACTTCCACTCATCGAGCTTATTCCGTAGATACCCATATTGCATGGGTTTAAATACATATTCCTAGTCCGGGGGCCGCCATATTGGATTTTGGTCCGCTATATTGGATTCCAAAATGGCAGTGCATGTCAATTTTCCACTTCCCCTCATCGAACCCATTCTGTAGATACCCATATTGCATGGGTTTAAATGCATATTCCTAGCCCGGGGGCCGCCATATTGGATTTTGTTCTGCCATATTGGATTTTGTTCCGCCAAATTGGATTTTGTTCCGGCATATTGGATTTTGGTCTGCCATATTGTATTCAAAAATTGCGGCGGATGTCAATTTTTCACTTCCCCTAATGGAGCTCATTCCGTAGATATCTATATTGCATGGGTTTAAATGCATATTCCTAGTCCTGGGCCACCATATTGGATTTTGGCCCGCCATCTTGAATTTTAAAATGGCGGTGGATGTCGGATTTTTACTTTAACTGTCATACCAATTTCTTGATTGTTGTTTGGATTTTGTAACCGCAAAATGAACTAAGATCTGCTAAGATAAAATCCGCCGTGATTTTCTGTTTGTGAATTTGCTGATCTCAAGATCAGCAGTGATTTTCAAACGTTCCTGATTTTGGATTTTCTTGATTTTTTTTCATCACTGCCTATCGTTAAATTAAATTGTAGTGATTTGAAGAGAACTATGTAGCTACTGAAGTGGGTTAGTTGGAGGCGAAATTCGTGAAAATATTGAATTTAATAACCCTATATTTGCTTAATCTAAAGGGTGTCCACGATGAAATTGCCACACACAAAATTGATTCGCAAAATTAGAGTTTTCATCCGATTGCCATCAAATTTTCAGGGATTGAGAAATAACTATTAAACTTCATTTTACCATTTTACTCGTATTTTATTTACAGTCCATACGCAAATGCCCGCACCTTGGCCTTAACCCCGGCCATAAGATTCTGCACAACCTGTGAATCAACCGTTTTTTGCATGTAAACCCATACTTTCTTCAGTTCCTCGACTGTCTTCACTACCTTAGGTCGTTTAAGAAGGTGCTGCTTCATAATCGCCCAGTACTTCTCGATGGGGCGGAGCTCCGGAGTGTTGGGAGGGTTGAACATTTTCGGCACGAAATTGACCTTATTATCCGCATACCACTTCAGCACGTCCTTGGAGTAGTGGCATGAGGCCAAATCCGGCCAGAAGATTGTTGGGACGTTGTGGGCCTTCAGGAGAGGAAGCAGTCGCTTCTAGAGGCACTCTTTTATGTACACCTGTCCGTTCATCGTGTCCTGGGCCACGAAAGGTGCACTCCGCTTCCCGCACGTGCAGATGGCTTGCCAAACCAGGAATTTCTTCGCAAATTTGGACATCTTCTGAGTGCGGACATGCTCCGGAACGCTGAACTTATCCTTGGCCGTGAAAAACAGGTTGCCGGGGATCTGTTTGAAGTCGGCCTTCACATATGTTTCGTCGTCCATGATGCAGCATTCAACTTTCGTCAGCATGTTGAGGTACAACTTCCTGGCACGGGTTTTGGCGGACTTGTTCTGCTTCTCGTCGCGATTAGGGGCCTTTTGTACCTTGAACGTTCGAAGCCCAGCCTTAGTTTTGGCCTTCTGGACAAAACTTCGGCTTATGTGCAGCTTCTTAGCCACATCCCTAACGGAGGCTTTCGGATTTCGGTTGAAGGCCCCAACTACGCGGTTGTGATTTTTGGTGTTGTACGGAATACTTTTTCCTTCACTTCTGGGCTTCCGATCGGTGGTCAACCGTTCCTCGAACCGCTTAATCACTCGCGACACCGTGGAATTCACGATTCCCAACGTTTTAGCGATGGAACGATGCGAGAGATCCTTGTTCTCGTGATGAATGCGCAAGATTTTATCACGCACGAGCTGTTCTTTCGACTCCATTTCCGCGAGTTTTGATCACAGGACTTTAAAACTTGCAGGATGTAAATAATGCACTATGAACTAAATCCACCCAAATTTTCATTAAATTCTACCCAACGGTTAAAAAGTTAGAGCAATTTCATAGTGTGGCAATTTCATCGTGGACACCCTTTACACTCAACCGGGGGATGTAAGATTCTCTTACAATTATGTGGGATTCATCATCAGAGGATGTTAGTGGAGACCGCATGAACCGAGGATGCGATATACCTAGCTGCGGTCCAATGCAAGAAAATTGGAGACCGAAAAATGTAGAGTGTATTAGTGAGGTAAATTAGTTATGTCGAAAAAAATAGAAAACAGATTGCTGACTAGACTCGAAGAACCACGAACGTTGCGATTATCAGACCTGTGCTTTCTGCACTGCTCTCTCCCTGCTTCTGAATATGGATAGCCTAAAAGCAAACATGAAGCGCTCATTGTCTCGCATACTCGACTTCGTATGCTTTTTCTGCTGGAGAGATTCGAGGCAAGTGTGTGCGTCGTTCTGCAATGTTCTACAATGTGCGTTGTTCTACAAGCTTACTGGTATAGTCGAAAGCGTAGATAGAACACGAAATAAAAAAGACAAAAAACCATTACATCGCCTGTAAGGTCAGCTTCTAACATTAGCTGGGATGTTCATGAACAGAGGATGATAGGAAGTGGAACTTACATTCATTGTAATATTTTTTTTGGTTTGCGTGTAGATACTTTAATTTGATCCTAAAATCTGGTAACCTACAATTTATTCCTGAACGCTATATACTTGATTTACCCTCAGTAGCTAGTAAGTAAGTTATTCTACATCTTTGGCGTACCCAATTAAAATAATAATTGAATCCCTAAATCCTAAATATAGCAAAATTTTTGATGAAAGAGTGACAACTCTTTCCTAAATCCTAAATATAGCAAAATTTTTGATGAAAGAAAGACAACTCTCGGTTTGAAAAATCTCCCGTTCAGCCTCCTATCGCTTTTCATGGAGGAATTTCTCTTCCTCCAGCGCTTTCTCTTTTGCGCTTTCCTCCTGCTGCAACTGGTCTAGGGATTCCTCCAGGCTGACCTCATTGGTACCTCCTTTTCCAGATTCAGATCTGGCATCACTCCTCGCACTATTCTTTCTGCTAGGTGGTTTATTTGGGACAGACTTCTTGGTTCCTTTTGGCTCCTTCAGCAAATTTGTGCACTTCGAGCACGTCTACGGAACCTCCTTTACAGCTGTTATCTTACCAGCACAAATATAATGGGTCCAGAAATCGCAGACATCACACTGGACCATATCATCTACGTGGTCTTGGCCTTCACAAAGCGTACAGTTTCGATCGCTGTTCTGTTCTTCACTCAACGGTGGAGTTGATCCCTCTGACATTTTGAGGTTATATCCGATGTTGTTCTTCAAGAATGTTCGGATTACTGAACGCAACTTCCTCAGAGCAGTCTCGTTTTGAACAGATTAGATTGGTTTAGATTTTATATTAGTTTAATAAAACCTATTTCAGCTTCAAGCAGACTAAAACGAGACTGCTCTGAGGAAGTTGCTTTCATTAATCCGAGCATGGCTATATTTTTAAGTGCGCAAACTTGATTTTCTATGGATCACTTTCTTTAGTTTAAGGTTCACTGCTGAATGTGTTATGGATCAATTGCAATATGTTTATGGGTAATTCGTACAATTTCAATGCTCATTCTTTAGAAATTTAGCGGTACTTTTTTACAATTGTGTTGTTAAATTTTACATAAATGTGGATCATATTGATATTTTTCATGGATCATTCACACTTTTGAAAGGATTTTCTCAGATGTTTAATGGATCATTTGGATGTTTTTAATGGAACGTTAATGTTAACGTTCGTAATTCTGCCTATTTCAATTGTTGGTCTAGATTTAACCAATTGAAACTATTTTTCTGAGTTAAAGTTTTAAATGTTTAAAAAACATTACATTTAAAGCGTTGGTGGCGTTGTGAACGTCCCAAACATCCTAATCATATTATATATAAATTATATCCCCAACAAACTTTGTCGGATTCTGAAAAGTTTTGAGCATTTTATTGAAGCGATGTCTGACTGACAACCTACAATAGATCGTTTTACCTTACGTAAATCTAACTTCCTCTAATCTTCTTCCAATCCAGATTGCACATCCGCCGTTCCCATCTGCTGGAGGATGCCTTCCGACGGATTATGTCCGCCAACAAGAAAGACCTTCAACGGGGACGACTGGCAGTCCTGTGGGACACCGAAGAGGGATTGGACTACGGCGGTCCATCGCGTGAGTTCTTCTTCCTGCTGTCCCGCGAGCTGTTCAACCCATACTACGGACTGTTCGAGTACTCAGCCAACGATACCTACACGGTGCAGGTCTCGCCGCTTTCGGCCTTCGTGGACAACAGTCATGATTGGTAAGTATTACCTTGCATTCTTTCGATGCGGCAAAGTTAAATAATTCATGTTTCTCACGATGCAGGTTCCGCTTCAGTGGCCGCGTTCTCGGTCTCGCCCTGGTCCATCAGTACCTACTGGACGCCTTCTTCACCAGGCCGTTCTACAAAGCTCTGCTGCGGCTACCGGTAGCATTGAGCGATCTGGAATCGTTGGATAACGAATTCCACCAATCGCTACAATGGATCCGGGATAACGACATTGGATCCGGTGTATCACTAGGCCTCACTTTTTGCGTCACAGAAGAACTGCTGGGCAGAGTTGTAGAGCGAGAGCTGAAACCAGGTGGTAAGAACATCCCAGTGACGGAAAAGAACAAACGTGAGTACTTGGAGCGTATGGTCAAGTGGCGACTGGAGCGTGGAGTCCAAGAGCAGACTGAATCCTTGGTGCGTGGCTTCTATGAAGTCGTTGATCCACGGCTAGTGTCAGTGTTCGATGCTCGGGAGCTGGAGCTGGTGATTGCCGGCACGGCAGAGATAGATCTCAACGATTGGCGGATTAATACGGAATACCGCAGTGGTTACCACGATGGCCACCAGGTGATAGTGTGGTTTTGGCATGTGATTGAAAAGTTCACCAACGAACAGCGGTTACGGTTACTACAGTTTGTGACGGGCACGTCCAGCATCCCGTACGAAGGATTTGCGGCCCTGCGAGGTTCCACCGGACCTCGGCGGTTCTGCATCGAGAAGTGGGGCAAACCGAATGCCCTTCCCCGGGCACATACCTGCTTCAACCGGTTAGATCTACCACCCTATCCAACGCCAGACATCCTGTACGAGAAGCTCCTACTAGCCGTCGAAGAAACCAATACGTTTGGAATTGAGTAGCTAACTGGAAACGGTGAACTCTGGCTTAGTCGGAGCGATGTGCTCTTCTACTATCTGTTGCTGTTTCTATTTTACAGTATATTTATTTTCTACTTCTTCAAGATTTTAATCGTTCAACTGTTGTGAAGAAAATGAGTTGAAATTTAAAAAAAAAATTATGCGAGCGATGAACACGAAAGTAAAAGTGCATGTTAACCGCACCGCGGTTGCCTTCATCCATGCAGCCCATTCATAGCGCCGATGCTAGCTACCATCCATTGTGAGAATTTGCAGCAAACAAAAAAACGAAGAGGATTGCATTTATATATGTACACTATGAAGTTATTCACTTGAGTAGACACCAGCTGACTACGGCTCAGCTGTTTTTTTTTTTTTCTCTTAGGTTGGAAGCAAGCAAAACTTTTGAATTATTAGTGCGAAACATGCCGGGTGATTTCGTTACGTGTACCCGGTTTACTAGAAGCACTGTAGTGGGTGGTAAAAAGATAGGTACATTATGGTAACGATAGGGGAGTGGAGGGAGGGGGGCGTGGTATTGAGTGCGAAAAGTTTTCGGCAGATAAAACGGCTTCGAATCAGCTACTTTCGATTTTTAACCATCTGCATAAGGAAAATGGCATGATTTTGATTGCCTAAATTTTTATGGGAGTGCACTTTTAACTTTTAAATGAATTCCATAATTTTTAACCGGCTTTTTGCCTGTACCTAGGTCACATCAAAGTGTGACCGTCTTGTAGAATTTTCCAAGAATTTTGTCTAAATTGCATAGTCTACAAATATTTTGAAAACTCTACAAAACACTCTCACCTAGATTTTAAACATTAACTCATTTTCAGTTTCTAAGCATTGCCTGACGATGTAAATGCATCTCAAACAATCATTTTTCATCCTTACTTTACTTTGTTTAATACCGCTCAGTCAACGTGGTATGCAAATTAATCCTCGAAGTCATGACAATTAAATCACGCCTGCAAAACGGTCCGTTAATGTCACCAAAATGACCGTCATTATTGTAATGTGAACAACGCCGCGCTTCAAACGAAGGCGCATGTTGCCCAGCGTGAAGGAGTTTAATAAATTTCCATTATCGTCACTGGATCGCCGATAAATGACCCATAAATTGAGCTACCATCGCTACTGACTGCCGCCGCTGTAGAGCGTGCTGTTATCGATAAAATCTGCCTGGGATATGTTCTCTTCCTCGTCTCTCCCCACCGTTCATTCAATAAGATTGTAAACCTTATGATAGAGCCTCGGTATGTTTAATCCCACGCGACAGTTTAGTGGAATTAATTCAACAATCCAGTAACTATACTGCGGACATTCTACATCAACATCAAAGGGAATTTTCCGAACAATGGGCTGCTGCTGGAGAGCTTCGCCGAACGGTGACCATAAGTCAAGAATAGTAACAGTAAACAGCAATAGAAAATTTGAAAGCCGTTTCTGTTGCATTTTCAACCATTTTAATGCAAATGTAATGAACCAGTAGATAAACGTAAATAGGACACAGATAGAAACATAGAAGTACCAAAAATAATCAATAGATAAAAAAAACTACTTGCACCTACAGGAATAAACCAACAGAAAATTACAATTGCTTCAGTTCCCACGCAGACACTACGATAATCATAAACAAAAAGTCATTAAGGACATGGTCCAACGAAGGGCTTCTGTTTCAGGCTGCACATTGCGTTTTCGGAGGGCACAAATCTCACCATCCGGAAGCCGATTAGTTTTGAAATTAGAAGAGCATTTTCAGCTTCCTTCACGGTCAATGAGAGCAACTCAAAATAGAGTTGGATTTGACTTAAAATTGTTTAAAAGATAATGAATCAAATTGTACTCAATTTTCCAGGAAAAACTTTTTACTCTGAGCTACTCTCATCGGCCGTGTGCATTAAGTAAATCGTCAGTTCTGTGCCCGGCAAAACGCGAAGCGGTGAAGTAAATGGTAAAACAAAAAGAATCCGCGTGAAACATGTCCCAAAACCATTCAAAAAAGTTCTTTTTCTAGTCATGACACAGTACACACAAAGAACATTGGGAAAAACCACTGCGAAATACATATGCACTCACTCTCAAAACGCCCAGCCTATAAACGCTTGATAGGAGAGTAGAAGTTTACAAACAATACACACACACACAAATAATACCCACGCACACTTTCAAAATAAAGTATGAAACTACACACCGCCACTAAGATATCCAATACAAGTGAATTCATAGGCATTATTGCTCGTTTTAGCTCGATAAATATACTGCATAATGAAATTTGAAAGATGTTACATTGGATGCGCATTCCTCTTTTAAATATTGTTTCAAATTCTGTCCCTTGAAAAGGCATAGTCTGGTCAGTTTATGCCAATAGTTTTAATCGAACACCTCCGTGTATTTGTAATGGTGCATCTTCTGCAAAACCAGTGTTTTATTTTTAGTTACAGTATCTTTTGTCGAAGGAATCGCTAGGAGATCAGATATTTATTTAAGTAATTAAGATGTTTATTTTATTTAGAAAGTAAACTGATCCAATTGAACTTGTCAGTAAGATAAATGGTGAGTTCAGAAAAAAAATCTTTATCATTTCAGATAAATTTTATATTTACTTTTTAATGTAAAACTGTTTTCTGTGCAGAAAACAAATCAATGCGTCAAAACAAATTCAGTCATAGTTTAAGTTAGTATATTAAGTTTGAATTAATTTAGTAATTGCTTTACGTGAATGAGAAATCCAAAAAATTAAACAAATATGAAACGCTGTTTTTTTGTGGAAAGAAATCCATTAGTGTCTATCTAAGATGCAAGAAAAATGTTGCTCTAGATTGAAGATTGTTGAAGATTTTGAAGATTTTCTGCACAAAGGTGGAGAGCAATCCGAGTAAATGGATTTAGATGCAAAAGATGAAAACAAGTTTTTCGTAGATTGATTCGCTAGCGTGAGATTTTCCGACCATATTAAATTGAAATTTAGATGTGTCGCACCCCCAGATTTTGACTCTAGACTACACACCTAGCAATAACTATTTTTACACGTGACGTAATTAATCTTTGTCGTAAATCAAGGAACAAACTTAGACGACCCAAAGCCTACTTTCACCGATCATTATAAACACAATTAGGCTGGAAAAAATGACATCTTTTTTTCTTGTGTCACTCAACAGCCGAGGGGGGGGGGGGATAAAAATTAAACCAAAACAAAAATAAAACATTCAAAATTCCATATAGTAGAAAGCGAGCAAGGACAACTGTAGGAAGGTACAAATCGGTTTGATCATCTCTCTTTACCATATGCAATTTTCACACTGCCGTACTCTAACGGAATTATCAATTCTATACTTTCATCTCCTCATCTATCGTATAAAAATTACCACTTTAGTCTGTTATTTAAAATAAGCATCTTCAACTATGTAAATCGTTGACTTCACGCAGAAGTAATACTAAACATATATATGTATATATATATATATATATATGTATATATATATATATATATATATATATATATATATGTATATATATATATATATATATATGTATATATATATATATATATATACTCGGGTTATCAACAAGGTTTAAGTGTGATTTTTATGGTTTGTAGTAGTAGTAGTAGTAGTAGTAGTAGTAGTAGTAGTAGTAGTAGTAGTAGTAGTAGTAGTAGTAGTAGTAGTAGTAGTAGTAGTAGTAGTAGTAGTAGTAGTAGTAGTAGTAGTAGTAGTAGTAGTCAGTGCTGAGATTTGTCATTGTCATTGACAGACTTTTGCGCGATATTGACAAAATTGTTTTTCACATAGTCAATGATAGACTTGATCCTCAAAAAAATCTTTGTCAAAATCTCATTCATTTTTTCGTCAATGACAAAGATTCACCTGGTAACAGGAAGTGTAATTTCTTGCATTCTGAGACACATAATTGTTATCCAAGCGGTTCAGGACGTAGATGCTTATTCACTTTTATGGCTCCATGTAATTGTTTTGCTCAAGCCATTTAATTTCATTTCAAATTTAGCTAATAAACAAATCAGCACATGTTCGTCACTGACAAAAATGCTACTGACAATTGACATGGTTTGCCTTGACGAAGACTGTTAGCTCAAACGAGTGACCATAGCAGAATTTTGAGTATCACCGTGTATTGTCGAAATTTTGCAGCACTGGTAGTAGTAGTCAAATTATATGTATTTATGTTTATTATGCCAGTACATTTATTTAACATTTTAATTGAATAGCCTACCTGACTCTTCATCTTTGTTTAATTTGATATTCTAATATGATATTTGCGTTTTTCAGCTAGTTTACAGAACACCCCTTTGGGGGTGTGTTTTGTTTGAATTGAAAAAAAGTGAAAACCTACCTAACTACGAGTATAACTTAACCTAACGTGCTAGATCATGTATGATGATTTGATCTCACACAGGTGTCTCTGAACCTTTCCAGAATGAATACTCTCCGTTCTTCTAATGTCTGAATTCAAGCCAGGAGGTGGATCTCAGAAATTCTAGTCCGCGGGGACTGTTTAGGACCATTCTAAAGATCTTGTTCTGGATCCTTTGGAGTTTAAGGTGATGGCATTTGGTGCAACTCTCCCAGATTCCCGTATTCTATTACGGGAAGGATGATTTGTTTGTAGACAGCTACACCCAACCGAGGGATGTAAGATTCGCTTACAATTATGTGGGATTCATCATCAGAGGATGTTAGTGGAGACCGCATGAACCGAGGATGCGATCCAATGCAAGAAAATTGGAGACCGAAAAATGTAGAGTGTATTAGTGAGGTAAATTAGTTATGCCGAAAAAAATAGGAATCCGATTGCCGACTGGACTCGAACCAAGAACGCTTCGATTATCAGACCTGTGCTTTCTCCACTGCTCTCTATGCTCCTGAATATGGACAGCCTAAAAGCAAACATGAAGCGCTCATTTTCTCGCATACTCGACTTCGTATGCTTTTTCTGCTGGAGAGATTCGAGGCAAGTGTGTGCGTCATTCTACAATGTTCTACAATGTGCGTCGTTATACAAGCTTACTGGTATAGTCGAAAGCGTAGATAGAGCACGAAATGAAAAAAGCCAAAAAACCATTACATCGCCTGTAAGGTCAACTTCTAACATTCGCTGCGATGTTCATGAACAGAGGATGAT